TCATACTCTCAGTAGGAAGTTACGCTCCACCTACTCAGTTTCATCTGTTTTTAAGTTAACGGGAGATTTGCTGACATGGCTGCAGAGTTGGACACCGACACGAAGATACTCACCAATAGCGACAGTCTTTACCTTATGGTGAAGTAATGTAATGTCATTCTGCCCTCAGTAAAGTAATGTCATTCTGCCCTCTTATGAGGGCAGAATGACATTAATTTGGGCGGTCACTTAAGTCGTGAAAAATATGTGAACAAATTACACTCAAGAGGTAAAAAAAATAAACATCTGCCTAATATCGTGTAGGGCTACCGCGTGGACGCAGAAGTGTCGCAACATGATGTGGCATGGATTCGACTAATGTCTGACGTAATGCTGGAGATAATTGACACCATGAATCCTGCAGCGCTGTCCATAAACTCGTAAGAGTACGAGGGGTTGGAGATCTCTTCAGAACAGCGAGTTGCACGGCATCCCAGATATGTTCAATAGTGTTCATGGACATGAATGAACAATGGACATGAATGGGTGCTGCAAGTGATCAACAGGATGCTTATGTATGTGTCAGCTGTCAGAGTCCTATCTAGACGTATCAGGGGTTCCATATCACTCCACCTGCACATGACCCATACCATCACAGAGCCACCATCAGCTTTAACAGTTCCCTTTTGACATACAGGGTCCATGGATTCATGATGTTGTCGCCATACTCGTACACATCCATCCGCTCGAACATTTTGAAACGAGACTCGTCAGTCCTATCATCGTGTTTTCAGTCATCAAGAGACCAATGTCAGTGTTGACGGGCCGAGGCAAAGCCTAAAGATTTGTGTCGTGCAGTCATCAAAGGGCTGAGTGGGCCTTCGGCTGCGAAACCCCATAACGATAATGTTTCGTGAATGGTTCGCACGCTGACACTTGATGGCCGAACATGAAATCTGCAGCAATTTGCGGAAGGGTTGCACGTCTGTCACGTGTAATGATTCTCCTCAGTCGTCGTCGATCCCGTTCTTGCACGATCTTTTTGCGGCCGCAGCGATGCTGAAGGTTTGATGTCTTACCGGATTCTCGATATTCACGGTGCTCTAATGAAATGGTCCTACGTGGAAATCCAAATTTCATTGCGACCTGGGAGATGCTATGCCTCATCTCTCTTGCACCGACTATAACACTACGTTCAATTTAACTTAAATAGTGATAACCTGTCATTGTAGAAGCAATAACCGATCTAATAACTGTGCCACACTCTGGTTGTCTTATACAGTCGTTGCCAACCGGAGCGCCGTATTCTGATTGGTTCTAGATCTCTTGATTTCAATACGCATGGCTGTACCAGTTTTATTAGCTCCTCAGTGTACAATGTGCCGCCCAACACACTAACATAGTAGTCTCAACTCTGTTCATCTATTATAACAGATCAACAATATGCACTAAGATAAACCACGTAAACCAACTGCATCTAAGAGAAACAAACGTCACAGTTCCGGCTATTCTCTTGAGAGTTGTCAGTAAGGTAAGTTTCCCCTGGTTGCGTTACGGGCGCCACGCAGGGATAGTTTGGTGGTGGGGCTGCCACCTTACTGCCTCCAAACTTGCAGGGCAGATTTTTCGGGTTGCTCTCCCTAGACGCATTGCCAGTCAACATGCACGTTATAATAACGAGCCTAGGATGTGAGATGTAATATTAAGACAGAAAACACGATTTTCTTGCATGAAGTGGTGTTCACAATTTTTACCCAAGTCATTACTGTACTCAGCCGACCTGGTTGGCCTTCTGACCGGGAGGTGCTAGGATCGAATACCGACTGTGGTAGGAGTTTCGACACTAGTTTTTCAGATAGGTCAAATTTAGGCACTGTCTGGAGGAGAATTCTAGCGGCCGGCTGCTCTGATCGGTGGTTTTCCGTGGTTACTTCGATCAACACCAGGCGAAGCGTTTAACAAACGGGCCACGGAACGCTCGCGATCTTCTCTGCCTTTCCTTGTCTTTTCCTCGCATCTTACACACACTTACACTAACATGCACTACGCTACCACACATGCCGGGAGACCGGCCGCGAGATGAGAGCGGACTGGGGCGGTGCCCCGCTGGTGGGAGGTACCTGGCCGGGAAAAAACCCGCTAGCGGACGGTAGGTCGGCGCCGAATCTCTCCATGCCTATTCCCGCCGGATCCAGCAGGGCAAGACCAACGCCACCACCTGAGCAAAGCATGCACTACACTTACAGGACTAATGACCATAGTAGTTAACGCGTCTGGAATCACTAACAATGATCAGTCAAACCGATCCGGTTGGTCGAGATGGACAAGAGCGTGAACCGACTCAGCGCTTCGGTCCGAAGGGTCGCAGGTTCAAGTCCCACCTAGGGTATGGTTATTTGTCCCTTGTCTCTTGTGTATGTGTTGTCGCGGAGGGCCTCACATTCTGCCGTTCCCAGATCAGAGGAGACCGCAAATGTATTGGTGTCCAGAATAAGCTCTCCATCGGCTGGAAAAATCTTAAAGAAAAGAAATGTTGTAGTCAAATGCAAAGAAGCGTGGTCAACCTTGTTCTTCGCACAAGAATGTTGGTACAACAGGCTCGTGGCCGGATGCAGCATTTATCATCGAGGACACTATCCCTTTCTATGGAATTGTGCCACCTTCATTTGACACGCTACGATGGGACGCATATGCCCCATCCGAATACGGCAATTCGTTCCTAATCTTCGGTTGTTCTAGAGCAACACCGGGTTACATTCTCTTATAACTTAATATATTATCAAACTCAAGTACTTTTTTTTAAAAACAGTACATGCAAGTCATACTATTTTGTTTTACGTTACATAATGTAACCTTAACCTAGCTGTGCTCTACACATATCAACGCTACATTCAAATAGTGAGGGCAGTGCCCTTTGCAGGAGGTTGGAAACCCCTATTTATATATATTCTGAGATATTTGAATTGTAGTATCCGTGCCGAACGACGCGGTAGGGAGCAACAGGAGGAGAAGCCTTTGAGACGCGAGAGAGGAAGGTCAAAAAAGTGTGCTATTGGCGAGTGGTGGTGAGCCTGGTGAGAACAAAGAAGAGAAAGGACACTAAAGCTGCGCATAGGTATACGGGCGTCCATTTTCTTACGCTACATTGCTGTGTAAGAACCCGGATCTGCGCGGAGATGTATATTCTGCGTCACCAGCCCACTGACCGTCGCAAGCTTCGCGGCTATGGGTGAGGCAAGGCCCCGAGAAGAGGTCGGTAACAATCGTCTTTCCTTTATTTTTCTCCTTATCTTTCGCCATGAACTTGCCATGACTGCGAGAAGCTTCATATTTGCCCAGTTCGCTAAGATGTAGGAGGTTCTTGACAGTATTTTCGTAGTATCCTAAGCCACCCCTTTAATGCATAATCAGTACTTGAGTGTCATGACTTCCAGTGTAAATAGCGGTCATTAAACCCTGCAAAAGTAAAACGTTAAGGCAGAGAGCAACAAGTGAAATGTTGTAATCAGTGCTCAGAATGTGCATGTAACGTGAACTTTACAAACTCCCTGCTTTATGCTCCCTTTATATTATTGTCACAGTGTTAAAAATTGTATAATTGTATTTGAATTTGTTGATTGGTCAATTTTTTTCTTCAAGAGAGAGGAGAAACTTTTTTATATTGATTTTGTTATTGTACAAAGGGTAATTTTTGTTTTGGTTAGTTTAAGAATATATGTATTTTCAAGGCCTTGGCGTTAGATAATCCTGTAACACATTTACATATAAAGCATGATAATCCTAATAACACAATCTCCATAACGATTATTAAGTTTTGTGCATGCTATTGTGATTTTGGTGTAAAAAAATAGCTTTGTACTACGAATGAATTTGTTCTTTATCCCTGTGACGAGAGACTTCGGATTGCATCATTTATCATCTTTTTCGTGAAAATGAACCCCATGTGTCAAGTACCTAGAACAAAATTTCTGTAGTTAATTCACCCCTTAGTCGTCAGAAAATGCGAATGAAAAATTAAATAATGCATACATTAAAAATAACTCATATTTCATTAATATGTGTAATTCATATTTTGCCTATATCAAAAAAGTTTATTATATACACGATATGCAGATCAATGGCAAAACTAATTGTTCTTGACTTCTATCAGATATCTAATAATCTATAAATGTTTCCTCATTTTTCTTCGAGCAGTACACTAATAAACGGACCACGGAGTCAGCGTAATATGTCCTACCTCATCTCTGTTCTATCCTCACCCCTTATTTACACAAATATACACGTACATGCACTGCACAACCACGCTTGTTGGGAGACTTCGGGAGCTTAGAGCTTGTCCCGACTGTAACGGTGCCCCACTGTTGGGAGATACCTGGTTGGGAAAAACTCCACAAGCCGACGCAGAGGTCAGCGCCGTATCTCTCCATCCAGCGGAGAAAGATCACCGCCATCTCCCGTCATAAAACATGCACCACAACGGGACTAATGACCATAGCAGTTGACCTGCCAGAAAACATGAAATAATCAATCAATTAATCTGTAAATTTCCCTAATGCTAATATTGATAAATGAATAAATACACCATGATCTCATCAGGCTTTAATTGCTTCTCCATCTAGCTTCGCTGGGATGCACGAAGGATATCTTCTTCTTCACTGCCTTCTTTGCCGCTCTCGAGATCTTGGGCGGGAGGTCACAGCTCCAGGAGAAGGCAGATGCGGCGCGACGGCTAAGGGGGACACGAGCACCGAGGGTGCTGCGATTATGCTACAAATATCGAAGCACCCTCGGGGCCCGGGACCCGCCATCAACCTCAGTTGCACGCTGTCCAGTAGGTTAGCCCACTCGCATTTGAAGACCCATCCGTTCCGTCTCCCAGCGGCTAATGATGCGACAACCAATGAAATCTCAAAGTGGACTATTAATATGTTTTGGAGATGTACTACATTTTGTAACTGCGATTATTAGAAAATGTTTTATTTTTCTACGCGAAACAAATCTCACTGCATTACTCCCCTTACCTGGAGGGTGTTTCTATGCATTTCATTATTTTAGTGTGCCAAAAAAGGAATCCTATATTCATCCAATACAACGTAACCAAAATTCTTGCAAAAGCAGCAATCTCGAGATGTTTCCTTGGTAAAATTACGAACCATCTACGTTTTTGGTAAAAACCCTACAAAGGTACCCCTATATTTCGTGGCTAGCCACTTGCAATACAAAATGTATATTTTGAACCACAACCGCTTTTTAACAACTCCATACGTCTGTTTCTTAGTAATCAGTAAGACGACTAAAAATAAATACTTGATCTATAAAAAGCTTTTTATCTGACATCTAGTCAATTGTGGTCTTAGAATAGTGCATCATACAACTAGATTTTAATGTTAACCTTTATTTCCATAAGTACTTGTTTCCATAGCGAGCTACTCATAAGCGAGTTTTCAAATTTGTATTATTTGTACAAATACAACACATTGCATACGTTTACGTATTGCACTTGTACAAATACAAGACATGCTCATTGTAAAAGAGTTGCATACGTTTTTTTTATATATCAGCATTATATATTTATAAAAGTGTCAAAGTTAATTTTGAAAACAAAATTCATCACTTCAATATTTTGCAGTTGATAAGATGGCCTTCGTTATTATCACCGGCAACGGCAAATACGTCATAATCTAAGCTATGAAACTCACGTTATGGATGTTTACTTTGCAACGAAAAATATCGTTTACAACATAATGTCATACGAAACATCTTTCTTTTCCGAGTTAATACAGAAGACTGCTTCTGGAAGCTATATGTTTTGTAAATTAAACAATTCAAATGTATTTATACTACTTAATACCTATTTACTCAATTCCTTTTTATTAAAAATTCCTATTAATTCCTTTTTAAATTTTAATGCTTTAATTAAATTGATTACATATAATAAACAATTGTCAGATTCCTTTCTTCAACTTAGCCACCTTGAACATATTGTCGATCCCAAGTAATAAAGGCTTAATTTTTTCAACATTTTTTAAAATTCGATTTTAATTTCTGTTTTATACATAGGATTGATAGATATGTATCCCAAGCAGAGATCCAAATTTTAAGATGGTGTTTAAGGAAATGAAATAGATGCAAAAATACTAACTATTGTCAATCATTGATTCCCCACACTGAATACCAACGCCGGTTTGTTGAGAACAGCACCTCTATCTTATTTGCGTTGTTTTCACGAACATTAGATGACCAAAACCCTCCAACCGAGGTTTTTTATAATTTTCTAGAGCCTCTAACAATTGAATCGTACACGTTCATTGAAATAATTTATTGCACAATTTTTTTTACTTGTTATAAATTCGTTCTAGATTAAACGGATTCATAATCAGTAAAGTATTTTCTTACTACTTCTGTTTGCTGTCTAAAGCATTCATCTTTTTTTCTTCAATGTTGACTAGGCGTGAATAGACAACAGAATAGACGAAAGAAAGGGACAAGTGCGCGTCAGTAGATGCATGGATGGCAAGCAGAGATAGATCGGCGGAAGCTTTTAAATAGCGCCGGGCTACCCATGCTTGCGACCCATTAACACTTTTAAGACCCTTCTTATCTTCAAATGTTTTAACATCTTCACCAACTGCAAAAAAATTTCATCCCCAATTGCGTATCTGTCACATCGGCCTATTTCTCGGACTAATCAAAGCAACAGAAACGGCATCTTTTTTGAAAACGCCTTCATGAAGTTGACAGCGCATGAACTCGTGGAGGATAGCAGTCGTGTAACAATAACACAACCTCGTGAAGCAGATATTGAGGTTCATCATTATTATATCTCTGATGTGTTCGCACTTGACCGTCGTCTATCCAACAATAATGCTTGGCCTCGTCTCGAATATTCTTAATATCATAGCAGCCCAGTAATACTGTTTGTCGACCCCTGGGACACCGCTGCATTCGCCTCGACACCGCTGCCCCCTGGACCTGGCGCAAAAGAGCCATCGCATGGCGTCGTGGTGCTGCCATCTCGCAAATCCATCTCAGGCGGAACTATAAATTCGCGCATGGCTTCCGCATTGCTGGACGTGGGGTGGTCCAGACAAGCAACTCTCCCCGCTTCTCCTCCCTATCCTCCTCCCTTCCCCTCCCCTCCCCCTCTTCCCCTCTCCGTGCGAGAGGGACGCGGCTCGACGGCGCGAAGGCTGAAGTGTTCGGGTCGTGTGGGAGCACGCGGGTGCGGCGAGGATTCGTCAGGCGGAATTTCAGGACCGAGTCAGGCGGAATTCCCATGCGCTTAAGGGACGATAGAAGGACGTAGCGGGCCATCGCTAAGTGAAGCTGGATAGGAAGTGGCAGTGTCGCGTGAATTAGGACAGGAATGCAAGTCAAGACGTGAATAGGCAAATTCTCACGAAGTACAGTGAAAACGTAGTTTAGAAAATAAAATGCGCTTTCAAAGTTTGTAGTGAGTGTCGGTAATGTCAATGAAATAACTCATTTACTACAGCTGTTATTTTCAAGTATAGATTTTGTTATTATGAAGGTTCGTTTATTAATTTTATTTAATAAGTGAACATTGCAAAAAAAAGCTTCTCCAAATATTTATTAGAAGTATTTATACGCTCCTTTTGCCTGATAATTATTTCTTTTTGATCATTAGTATTAATGGTATTTCTAATTGGTGATTATTGTTACTATCCTAAATACTATTAGCAATTTGAATTTTAGTAACAGGGATTATTCCATTGATTTCTTGGTTCGAAAGTATTAACCCCTCTATCTCAATAATTTTTATTTTCCCTTACATATTGCAAATACAAGTGCATTTATAGAAATAAACTCCCTTATACATTCAATGACGAATTATTGTTCATACGTATTGAATAACTTTATAATGAATAACAAATAATACCACGTTTTCAGCATCAATTTTTGGGATATTCTTCTTGTTTTCGAGAACGCTCTGACAAACTTTTTTAAATATCTCCGTGTCGTGATCTATGCTTGTAGGAAGCGGATGATTCCATCATTGCGTCGGTGGCAGCTGCATGAGAGTCAGGCAACGAGATAGAAACAAATTCGTAAACATTGATTCTCCCTTGATGCCCAACGCCCTAGCAACTTTCATTTTTTCTCGGTATTTCGATGCTTTTAACTTTCGGTGTTTGTTATTCTTGTTTTCGTGAGGACATTTATCTCATCCACTCTGTTATGACAAGCTGTTAATACCATCCTGTACCAGTCCACATCACAACTTCGATTCATTTTATGGCGTGGCGTGGTCTCTAGTTTTGTTATAGGTGTAATTACATTTATAACACTGCACCACATGAAAATGCCAGAACTGATGACTGCCAGCAGAAATTAAGGATTGCAATGAAATGATTTTTATATATTTTACTGCTTCACATATTACTGCGTATATGTTCATAGTAGTTTTGAACATTCTTTCTGATTTCGGACTCATTTTTCACGACACCCTTTTGTCAGAATCCAGATGATTTGTCAGAAAAACGTTAAGATAGTCATTATACAATATTTCATAGAGTCTACTCGAAAATAATAGTATGAATAAACTGGTAAAAACGAATGGGACTACTTTTTGAAAGTAAAATTGTCGTAACAACGCAATATTGAACTGTAAAACGTGAGCTTGGTGAATACGTCCTATATATTAATTCCCCAAATTTTGTATAATACTCATCGGGTTCATTTTCATAAGTTTTCACACAAATATATAATTATAAATGAATTTGGTGGGAATGCATATGCTCGTGTTCATTGGCTGGTTTTCAAGGTTCGTTGAAACATGTTGTAACTGTAACTGTAGTATATGCAGTGCACGGGTAGCCTTGGAGCTTGCACAAACCTGGACCATCAATTCAGCAATGAATATTAGAAAAGTAAATTTGCAGGAGGATTGTTTGTTTTCGCTCTCCCGGAAACAACTCGTTTAGTTCAGTTTTCTTCTGTTTGTAATTCTCTTCAGAATGTATTATCGAATCAATTAACAATGCTCTGCAATACACCACGCGAAATGCAAGCTGTTTCACAGTCGGAGGAAATACGTAAATAAAATTAGAAGAAAAAGGCTGAAGCAATCCAATGGAAAAACGTTATTAAAGAAGTTGTGAGACGCGAAAAGCGGACCGAGAAAAAAAAAGAATTAAGTGAGGAGTGGAAAACATAAGCTTCTGTGCCGCGCACGACACAGAGCGTTCACGTAATCCGCGATATTGCGAAATGAAGAACGTGGCCTGCATTAGAGGCGACAAGATAAGACGTATTGCCTCCGCAAGTTCCTTCGGCTGGAGGGGGGAGCGTGTATGCAGTGTATGCACGGCGAAGGCGATCTGGCAAAGTTTTACTCACTGCGAAGGGTCAAAGTTAATTTAGCACATCATGGTTTCCAAAAATAAGAATGCGCTCAATCTTCTTAAAAAGGGAATAATTCAGTATTTCATGATTTTATGTGTTCTTCATTCTAAAAAGCTAAGTTGTTGCCATTAATTGGAGGTAACAATGTAGTTGTTACATCCTTTCACAAAAGGCTACTCAACTTATTCCACAATTACAATTTAATTCTCACATTTGCAGGTCATATAGGATAAAATAATAATGATTCAATATTTATGGTTTTTAGAATCAAAATAACAATACATAAAATTTATAATAATAAGCCTCGCAAATCTATACAAAAAATATATCCGTTATGAACACATTCATTCCGCCTTAGACGTGATATGCTGAAGGAGTTCTGCGCGAAATTCTGCAGAGGTACCCAATCTAACAAAAATAAAGCTCATGTTCTATAAGTTAGTACTTCATAATTCTTTAAATCCTCAAAGCTTATTCATTTACATTATTTGTTTAATTGTATTTTTTAAGATCAAAACACAGTTATAACTGTATTGACGACACATGTCTTGAGCTCCAGAATCTCTACCCTTTCTAGTTTTTGTTACTGTTGAATTATTATTAATAATGTGTCGAGCGTTTTCTGCAACATTTGTTAACAATATATGTTAGTTCCCACGTAATAGAAAATATTTTC